GCTCGGTGCATGTTCATCGTATTCTGAGATGCAAAGTACTAATTACAACACTACAAAGGTGAGCTTGTCTTGGGTGGAGGAGGAGGATTATGGCCAAACTGCCCCCCCTTCGACCTCAGCTCCGAGTGGATCGTGATGGACGATCGTTTCCCAACTTGTATAAACCAACATGCGTACTCTGTAGGTACCAGGTAGTAGTCAATGTGTAGTGCCGTTGGGGGAGAACAACGTCCCATACCCCTGCGGCGATCATTTTTTCTTTTCGTCCCATCTACATATTATATACCCCGGACCAGACATGTTGACCACGATCTCGAAATACATGAAGCTATTCCTTAGGGCTGCAAGGCTTCGGTCCAAGCAAAAAGATAGTCTGGCCGAAAAACAAAAAAACATGACATGTTGACAGGTGCGACGATCCGTGTTTCTAATCAAGCACCAAGCAAAACTACTACGAGTCAAGCAGGTGCATTTGTCAGGCTATACTACACTGCTCGATGATGTCTTGTTTACCCCCCTAATCTACGCGCAAGCAATGTCGTGAGTGGCATCTCTCCGGCCCCAAATGGGGTCATTGATGACATGTGCTTGGAGGAGAATATGCTCCACTGAGACGAGTCGACCTGGACGCGTTCACGGCAGAATGAAAGCTTATATCATGTCTGATCCCAGATTCGTGCTTGTGAGACAAGCAAAGGGGGGGAAACGGGGCAGCTTGGAAATTTCCCCTCTCATGGATGAAGAAGACAGCTTCCGAAGGAGTATGTAATCACTTTGAACTGGATGGAATACAGCATCTCCTCGATCATCGTTGTGCTGTCCGAAAAGACAAGAGAATCTGCCTTGCAATGTCTGAATATCTGAATGACGCTACCAGGCGGATTCACTCGGCCTTCAGCTTCGAGATATTAGTTTCCAGAGCCGGAGTAAAGTAGCGTGAATGGGATTGTCCCGGATCTTGACGAATCATTTCACGACAAGGACACATTTTGCGCTATTTTATATAAAGTTCTCAGGGTTGTTTCCAAAGGAAGGTTTCGTGATTCTGATTTCTCTCATTATTCCCTCCTGGGCGTGGAATGAAAAGAATAAACGAAACTGCCTATTCAGGATTGAGCCACGGAAGTAGTCAAAGTATATTCGGGCAGGCAAGGAGAGGGAAATAAGGGGAATAAAGCACAAGGCTCAGGGATGATGTAAAAAAAGAATAGCAAAAATAAAAAGTGGATAGATTCAGAGCCATTAGATGGGAACTCTAAAGTAAATATGAGACATGCATGCTGTGAGTTAACCAATCAGCCAGGCCCATCTTCCCGTGTTCTGGCCCATTTCGTCGGCAGGAACTTCTAGAGCTTATTCGCTGGTTGAAAACCAAGAAGTGGTCTTGGTGAGAAATTCTTCGGCCCTATGTACACAAACTTGTTCCATACACGATCTGGATCATCTGTTCTGCCAGACCATTTGCCAATTTCAGTTTGGATAACTGGAGATAGGAAACAGTGATGAACATTGTGCACCCACGAATGAAAGCAAAGTATGAGATAGGAAGAAAAAACAACCAAGAGACATGGTTACCTAGAATAGCACTGACTAGGCCAGCCCGGCTATACATGATCCGACTTCTCTCAAAAAAGTGAGACCTTGATATCACTCGGAGCTTGTGATCAACCTCGGGAAAAGACGCACAACCTCGACTCAGTATTGTGCAGCTCAGAGGACCACCCCTGATTGTGAATGAAACAAAATGAATTCATGCTGGTCTCTCGATCGAGTAAAGTGACATGAACCCCCATCGTTGACCCTGTATTGAGACATTATGCACCGTCTAGCGAATGATGGGCTCAGGCTATTCCTGCAAGCACTTTCCGTGTGAGCACACACATCCGAAAAAGGCCAATGAAAACGGTTGTGGCTTTTCATCCTTTTGACTCTTCTCTTCTGTGATGGAGGAGAACAACTAGAGAATGAAAGTCCAAATAAGGAGACTTGAGTCTTAAGTTCACACCTGGGGGTCGAGAGACGGATGTAAAAGGTCCTGGTACGAGGAGCGACAAATTAACGTTGAATCTTACATTATGTATCATTTCCCTCTGGGGTAAAAGACCCTCATCAATTGAGTTTAACCCCTCTGTCCACAAAAAGGCTCGCTGCAGTAGGGCGAATAATGACAGAAACGCCGGACAAGACATGCATGATTGACAGAAGCCAACAGCCGTCGGCCCAGCGCGTGACTAACCTCGTGGATGATCAGAAGGGACATTCTTTTGGCATGGAAAATGCAACAGAAAAGGGTAAGAGTATCGACTAATGTACCCCCAATACGGGAACATTAGTGCCTGGGAAGCACTGACAAAGGTAAATGAGACCAAAACTTTACAAGTGAAACTGATTGATGGCCTTTAAGGCATCCAAAGAAAAAGCCCTGGACCATCTTTACAATGCCCAAAACTGGTTATCCACCACCATGGCATAATAGCACGGTTCTCGAACTTTTGGTAAAAGGGTTGTAAGTATGGGTTTGCATCCCGCAAAGTCGTTCGTGTAGATATAGACTGCAATACATGACTTTAATGCAGGCTTGGACCACGACCAGCATGCCCGGTGCCACCTTGCCACCCACCTGCGCGGCGGCTCCGGGCCGTTTTATCAAGCATACCGCACCCTGCAAATATGAGATGATCCGGAGAAGAAGTTTGCTCCGACTATCCGTGCTCTGCTCGCGAATGATATGTGACAGAATCATGAAAACACGAGGTCAAATGCACAATCCACAAGACTAGCTTGCGATACGGCCCTACAATTGGGCATGATGAATGCTCTTCTGATGAAATCCGGCAAGGCTAATGCCAGTGTGGTATCATGGTCTCGCGACAGCCCCAATGCCGTGCTTCTCGGACCCGGGCCGGGTCCGGGGAACGTCGATGGAGCCACTCGAGAGGCACAATGAGGTAAGTATGTCATGACACGATATTCAAGTGGTCACGATTCAGCGATGCTGAAGTTCTAGAAAAACGAATCAGATGATTATGACAAAGAATATGTGGCAACGGGCCGACTGGGGGTGGGTTTTCTGTTGGCTCCATGGAAGAAACCTTGATGAAAGGTCACAAGGCTTACACAAGGCGACGTGTTATGCACCGTAGGCTGATACTGCAGCTGATATGCTGAATAAACTATTCTGGACTTGCTTCGAATGCATCCAATAATATGAACCAGTCAAAGATGAATAGGCCGAGATGGAACTGAACTGATAATTGCATTCTGAATGATGGCCGTGCTGGGGCGGGGGCTGTATATGCAAGATGCAAGGCTAGTAGTGATGGGTTGAGCCTCATGTTTTTGTTCACACACCCCCGACACTCTTCGCCTAAACCTTTTCGAGTTCTTGGGCTATACCTTTGTGCTCGGTGAAATGGAGAGTACCTGTTCTTGATGACCTGATGGTGACTGACTGTAAGCCGAAAATACTGATTTACCCATGAATACGTACTATGGCTGTGTTATCAATTAACACGTATGAGCAGCATCTATTGTTGAATAAAAAGAAATCTGAAGGCAATGGCAAAAGGCGTACGTGTCGAATTAGGAAATCTGGTATCGCTCATACATGTATTTCCAATCCAGCTCGACTAGGCCCTTATATAACCTACGTGTGAGACTGGTACCGAGATGAGAATATCACTTATCGCTGCACATGAAACTGGGTGACAAGCATGATGATGCTTATGATGATCGGCCAATATCCTTTTGTATCTGCTCCTGTTAGGATCTCATACAGAAAATCCTCAGGCCGAAAGTCTCTTAGACCAGTTGAAATGAAGCTGTTATCTCAGATGTTCATCATGTCGAACTGTGGGATGTTCAAGGACAAGGCAAGTACTGGAAGAGACCAGGTAAAGCCATGGATGGTATGCCATTCTCAGCTGAGTCTTGACATGAGTATACATATATCTCATCAAGGTCATCAGAGCCCATGAATAGAGATATCAGAAGGTCATGTATATATGCATTCCCGACGCTCCTTGCACATGAATGTATGATGTAATGGGAGAGACCTTTCGAGTCATTATATCGGCTCTACTCCTTAAATAAAGATGTTCTGACCTACTTCAGGCAAATTTCAAGATTGTTTATCACATGTTGAGTCCTAAATTCTGAATCATTATATTTCATTCAGCAATGATTCGTGTTGTGGGCTTTGATGTCGTTCAGATTCCAGTAACAGCCAAAAAGGCGTGTCATCACAAGAGTCAAAGGCAGCTATCAACGCGATTCACATAAGATTGAACCATGAGCACAAGCGTAGTCACGATCGGCGATGACTCGTTTCATCATCACTCACCTACTTTGGTTGACGACAGGGAGCAAAGTCATGAGCGTGAGAGAATCTACGCTCACAAGGGCTCTGAGAAGAGGTTCCAAATACGAACCCAATTCATAGGTCGTTGCGCATAGGTGCAGGAGTCAGGGTTGCCAAGATTGGTGGAAGAAATGAAGAGAGAATCACATGAAGAATAAACATGGTCAGACTCGCAAGATACCCATCATATAAGTAGGCGTAACTGTTAAAGTATCTCAGATCAGCGAGTCAAAGATATAGGATACATCGTGACAGAGAAAATTGAGAATAGTGAAGTAAACAAAGGTGTTTGATACTTACAGGCGTCCTGCGTTTCATCTTGCGCAGGCTTCGAAAGAATAATTTTGGTCGCACTTGGCTGTAGTTTACGGCATGGGATAGATTCCGCACAGGTACTGCTTATGATTATGCTCCCAAGAGTCAAGACGTGAATTGAAAACTTTTGCTACTGATCTTGTTTGAACTTACGGTATCGGACATAAGTCATAGGTTGTGAGCACTCGATGCATGGGCACACAGAAATATCAGTATATGGTTCCCGAAGTTTACGTACATTTCTTTTTCTCGTTATTTACGAACTGCCTATAATATATGATTCATATACACGATCATCATCCATGGACATCATCTCATCCCCCGCTCACAGCTTACTAGCCGGGCTGGCGGTACCAACAGCCGTAATCTCATTGTACAGCAACGAAGTCAAGAAATCAGCATAGTCCTCGCCCGTGACCTGTCCGCCAAAGTACTGCGCAGCCAGGCCAAACTTGTTGCCCTTGGGAGCCTTGGACGAGAGCTCCTCGGCCTGCTCCTTGAGGAGCTTGAGCGCGTAGGCCTTGTCGACCTTTTTGCCCTCGGCCGTGGTGACGCCGTGGCGCACCCACTGCCAGAGCTGGGACCTCGACACCTCGGCGGTAGCGGCATCCTCCCTGCAATCAATTGTCAGTCTTTTGTCACATCACGGCGTTTTCTCATCGCTGTTGAGAGGGGGGAGAATAGGCAGGCTTACATGAGATAGTTGATGGGCACACAACCAACACCACGGATCCATGCCTCCATGTAGCCGAGACCAATGTTAAGGTTCTTGCGGATACCCTCCTCGGTGATCTTGCCGGGCACGTTCATGTTGAGCAGGTCGTTTTGGCCAATGGTGACATCCTCGCGGCGCACAAACAGCTGGTTGGGCGTCGGCATGTTCTTGTTGAAGATCTCTGACGCAATGGCGGCAAGGGCCGGGTGGGCAACCCATGTACTGTTGAGAGACGATTAGCAATTAGAAGGGGACTCAAGTCTAGTGTAGTCTCATGGTACTTACCCGTCGTGACCAGCACGGACCTCGCGCAGCTTGTCGGCACGCACGCCCTCCATGGCCTTGTCGTTGGCGGCCTTGTCATCCTTGATAGGGATCTGAGCGGCCATGCCTCCCATGGCGTGTACACCTCGCTTGTGGCAAGTCTGAATCAAAAGTTTGACCTGCGTATACATAGTTAGCAAAAATCAGATCGCTTGCCAAGAGTTTGATGCCAAGATTGGTACTTACGTAGGCATCCATAAAGGGCACCGTCATGGTCACAGAGCTTCGGTCGGGCAGGACAAAGTTGCTGTTCTGGCGGAACTTCTTGATGACGCTAAAGATGTAGTCCCAGCGACCGCAGTTGAGTCCAGAGCTGTGGTCTCTCAGCTCATAGATGATCTCGTCCATTTCAAAGGCGGCCAAGATGGTCTCAATCAGGACGGTACCTCTAATGGTACCCCGGCTCATGCCAATGTAGTCCTGGGCAAGGTTGAACACATCGTTCCAGAGACGGGCCTCGAGGTGAGACTCCATCTTGGGGAGGTAAAAGTAGGGGCCAAACCCTTGCTTGACAGCCTCCTTGGCGTTGTGGTAGAAGTAGAGACCAAAGTCGAAGAGCGATCCGGAAATGGGCTCACCATCCACGGTCACATGCTTCTCCTCCAAGTGCCAGCCACGAGGCCGCACAATGAGTGTGGGGAGCACCCGGTCGGTGCGCAGCTTGTACTCCTTGGGCCCTTGCTTGAATTGCAGTTGGCGTCTGACGGCATCATACATGTTTACCTGACCGTTGATCATGTTGTCCCATGTTGGGGCGCTAGAGTCTGTAGCCCAGTGTTAGTATAAGTAAGAAGCGAGTTTTCCGGTAATGAGACGATCGAGAGGCTCTTTGCATCTCTCTGTTTGGGGAATACCAACCTTCGAAATCAGCCATATAAGTCCAGACATCCGAGTTCAAGGCATTGACAACCATCTTCCGGTCCGTGGGGCCCGTGATCTCCACCCGACGATCGACGAGGCCCGGAGCCGGCGGTGCGCCTTTCCACGTGGCATTGTCGCGGATGTGCTTGGTCTCTGGCAGAAAGTCGGGTAGGACACCCTTGTCGAGCTCGGCCTGACGGATCTTGCGGCGCTCCAGCAATTGCTTGCGTGTGTTGTTGAAAGAACGGTGCAGCAGGGCGAGGAAGGCGAGGGCATCGGGCGTGAGAATCCTCTTGTGCTCCTGGCCAACAGAGCCCAGGATATTGACACCCTGGAGAATGGTGCTGGTTTGTGCCATATTTATTGTGCTGGTGGTAATACAACACAACGACGATATAGGGTGTATTTTTGGAGGGGGGTAGTTTTGCGTATAAGTCGGGTCAAGTTATGATAACAAGTGCGGGACGAGCCAGTGGGGTATCAATATGTAAAGTTCCAGGCCAGAAAAAGGGAGAAACAAACGTCAATTGACCAAGAAGAGTTGGTAGTGAGGGGAAATTTAGTTCTTAAGAGAGAAGTTTGACACAAACGAGCCAATGTTGGTCGGAATCTAATATGTTTGTGGATGGATAGAAAACGATTCGGCTCAGCCGGTGACGTTGACGAGGATGAGACGGGAGCTATGCCGTCGCTTTTCTCCAACTTCGGTACTGGGTAATAGGTTGTAGACTTGGAGTAAGGCGGCTCTGAGTCGATTGCCGGGGTAAGAATTGGACCTGTCACAGTCTGAACCCAGCCCCAAACAAAGAGTCTTGGCTGGGGGGTGGAATCACAGCTTTGCTCTTAAGCTCGGCGCCCTGGGGCTTGGTCTGTCTCTCTCGGGCAGAAGGGGTTGCTTGCTACGGTTGTCACCCTTCTAGCCGACTTGGATGGACGAGCTTCGAGCTTGTGAAAGTGTGGGGAAGCCGGGACGGGAGTGAGCCCAAGAGTCAGAGTCAGCACATGCCAGTGCTATGTAGTATGGATCGTATCGTATTGGCAGGCGGACGGATTGAGTAGTGGAATGTATTCCGTTCTGTAGTAGCCTAAGCTCTTGTTAGACCTCAAGCAGCAAGATCAAAACAAGCTTCAAAGATCAGTTCCGGTCCAGTTCAAATAAGAGAAAAAAGAGTCGGGAGTAGATATATACTCGACACGCAATAATCCCAACCATTTTAAAGTACTACTTGTCTCCTCCTATATACGGTCCCCCTCCATATCGCGGAGCCGGAGCTCTCTTCATAGCTACCACCAAACAGCAAACAGCTTTCCCCAGCTTTTTTCTTACGTCGACCTCCTTGGACCGATAGGCACGTTTCCAGACTTTATCGGGCGGGGGCCGGCCGCTTGTACGGAAGTAGCCTCTGCCAATGGGATTGTGGCCCTCCAAATTGAAGCGTCGTCACCTAATGAGCATGACGGCATTAATACACAGAATTTCAATCATTACTATTTTGTTCTGAATCTGCCGCCAAAAACATTCAGTACTTGCAAACCGAGCTCGGTGCTATGCGTCCCTTATCATGTTGTGCTGTTACTCGATAAGAATTATTATTACATGCCCCGTGACCAGCGAATCGCGGCGAGGCAACACTAAAAACCAAAAGCACAAGCTTCTCTTCTAGCACCTGTAACGCCGATGACGCCAGGCGCCGAAATACCGAGCGTCTATCTGCTGCATTGTGGATTCTTGCCGAGGTCGGATCGCAGCCCCAGCACCCTTGGATTGCCGGATATTTCCGGCCGTTGCCGAAAAATCATCGACCCTCTCTCTAATAACAGACAGATAGTACTATTTCAAAAGCTGGGCATTTTGTCGTTTGCCCGTTTGGCAATACTCGGAATCGGAACATTTCGTTTCATGTAGTACTGTACACTTTGGTAAGTGACAGTATACTGCTTTTTAAGCATTGCGTGATCATTTGATATATATGATGCAGGCGAGGTTTCCGTTTCATCCTCAAAAGAAAGTTGAAATACGAGAGCACAACATTAGAGTAGGCAATGTGAACTTTTGATCTTTTTTGCTCATTTGTGATACTATTTATAAAAATAAAAAAAACGGCCTTGTTTCTCAGAACAGAGCAGTTGAGCTGTCCTCATACCTGCGCTGTTACCGATTGCGCAAATCATCATGACAAATTGCGACACGTTAATTTGTGTGCATCTGGTATGACGAGATGCGGTGCATATTTCGCGGGGTCGGATGATGTTGGAACCATTGCGCTGTATTTACGTCAATTGCTCTATCCCTTGTATGGGGAAGGGCCAATCATGAGCTCGGGCTTGACGAGCTTGTCAAAGTCCTCCTCGCTCAGAGCGTTGAGCTCCAGAGCAGACTCCTTCAGGGTGAGGCCCTTCTTGTGGGCGTTCTTGGCGACCTTGCTGGCCATGTCGTAGCCAATCTTGGGGTTGAGGCAGGTAACAAGCATGAGACTAGACATGTGTTAGCGTGATTACAATCGGGCAAAATACTGATGTGAATACGTACGACTCCTTCATAATGTTGGCAATCTTCTCCTCGTTGGCCTGGAGGCCGGCGACCAGGTTCTTCTCGAAAGAGGTCATTCCGTCGGCCAGAATGCGGATACTGTGGAGCAGGTTGCGAATGACCAAGGGCTTGTACACGTTGAGCTCAAACTGGCCGTTCATGCCACCAATGGTGGTAGCAACGTGGTTACCCATGACCTGAGCGCAAACCATGGTCAAAGCCTCACACTGAGTGGGGTTGACCTTTCCGGGCATGATGGAAGAACCAGGCTCGTTCTCGGGCAGGTTCAGCTCACCGAGACCACATCGGGGACCGCTGCCAAGGTAACGAATGTCCTGGGCAATCTTGGTGAGGGAACCAGCCAGAGTGTTAAGCGAGCCGTGGGCCTGGACAATGGCATCGTGGGCAGCGAGAGCCTCGAACTTGTTGGGAGCAGTCACAAAGTCCTTGCCAGTCATCTTGCTGACCTCGGCGGCAATAGCTTCGGCGAAGCCCTGGAAAGTGTTGATACCGGTACCGACAGCAGTTCCTCCCTGGGCAAGCTCCTTGAGGTCAGGCAGCGAGCTCTGGACACGCTTCAGGCCCTGGTCGAGCTGCGCAACGTAGCCGGAGAACTCCTGACCAAGGGTCAGAGGAGTGGCATCCTGCAAGTGAGTACGTCCAATCTTGATAATCTGCTTGGCGTCGAACTCGTCAACCTTTTGCTGGAGAGCGGCGCGGAGAGACTTGATGGCAGGGATCAGGGTATCCTCGATCTCGAGAACGGCAGCAATGTGCATGACGGTCGGGAAGGTGTCGTTGGAAGAGGCGGAGCGGTTGACGTGGTCATTGGGGTGGACGGGCTTCTTGGTACCCATGGTGCCGCCGAGGATCTCAATGGCTCGGTTGGAAATGACCTCATTGGCGTTCATGTTGGACTGGGTACCGGAACCAGTCTGCCAGACGACGAGAGGGAAGTGGTCGAGGAGCTTGAGGTCGGCAACCTCCTTGGCCGCCTGCTGGATTGCCTTGGCAATCTTCTCATCTGAAGAATTGGCGCAAAAAAGACGTTAGCTACAGTTCATGGGGCTTTTATTTCGTTGATCGAATGAAGAATAATTAAGTTTGCAATGTTTCGTCTCGTGTGCGACATTTATAGTCGCTTCGTGGGAGAAATCGTAAGGGGGTAGGAGTGGCGCATACCGAGACCATAGCTCATGTTCACAGTGGCGGCAGCGCCCTTGAGAATACCAAAGGCCTTGACAATGGGCGGAGGCATGCGATCCTGAGGCTGGTTGATCTTGAAGTTCTCGAGGGAGCGCTCAGTCTGGGCACCCCAGTACTTGTCGGCGGGGACCTGGATCTCGCCAAAGGCATCGCTCTCGGTTCTGGTGTTGGCCATTCTTAACGAAGTTGCGTGGAAGTTTCTCTGAATTCGGAGGGAAGGAGTCGACAGCGAGGACGACTTGGAGAAGGGAGCAATCGACGATGATGCGGAGGCGGAGGAGCTGCATGTGCATCCCGCAGCCATTCGCGGAGCCCTCGGCCCAAGCAGGTTCCTGGCTGGGCCGGCAGCTGCAACTCGAACCGATCGAAGCATGATGGGCGACCTCGGAAATCTCGTGACTTTTGGAGATAAGACACAAGAGGGAGAGACAAGACAGCGGAAAACGGAGATTTGGCTCTAGAAGCTCAAAAGAACAACAATTGGAGCTGAGTAAGCTGGTTATTGATACAGAGATGAATACAAGAAACTCTAAATACCAGAGATTCTGCCAATTTCAAGGTTCAATGGCGCTGACCAGCGACAGGATGGAAAGAAAAATCACGGATAAAACCTCAGCCAGGACAGACACGACAATCTTTCACTCCAACTTTTGACACGACCGTCACAAACAATTTGGGGAAGCTCCAAAGATGCTAGCCCCTTGTAAATGACGCTAGCAGCCCGCCAATTCCCCCGGTTCGTAGTGGGGTTGGGGGAGGTCGGCCCGGGTTCGCCCGCATTGGATTCAGCAGGATAACTCAACCTTAGGCAGGTTCCAAGCTTCAAAGCTGTTGGTTTACTACCTACCTACGTTTAATGAGGGAAGACTCTCATCCGCTGCCGTGTCCATCATCCGCTCAGATTGAGACTCATGGCCTGTGTGGACTTTTGAGATATTCTATTTGGTCTTGGCAGCGATTTCTTCCCTCTACTCAAAACAATTACCGGTATTGTCATGCCTACTCACAAGGTCAATCTGGCCATATATGGCAGCTCATCGCTTCGCTGTAAAGTGATGACATTTAATGCTGTAGCAACTGAGTATAATAGCAGCTGATCACAGAGGTGGAAAAAAAATCGATTGAAACATGCCATCTAGCAATGTTGAGTCAAAAAGTTCTCTGCATTATAGGTAGGCGTCACCAGCGTTAAGGTATAGTTAAGGTATATATCCCTTGTATTATTATGCCGAAGCTATGTAATTAATTGAACTACTCAAAAGCGAGCATTTCATTCACCAATCAGTCTTCTTAAATTTTCTCTATATACTTTTCGCGTTCCATGTCCCCGAGCTCCAGAGCATCGAGTTGCAAATTGATAATGAGGGATTTGGCTGTCGACAAGTCAAAGGTAGAAGGTGAGGGGGCAGGTCCTTTGGATCGTGTCGACTCCTCATGGTCCGATTTTATTCACTTGGCAACACCAATGCAGCGGAAGTACTCGCGGAAGGCGTGGGCCTCGACGGCGAGGACACCCTCGTGGTCGAGGAGGCAGGCCGGGCGCCAGAAGGAGGGCTCGACGCGGTCAATGAGGCCGGGGTAGGCAGTCAGGCCCATGGGCTCGGTGACACCCCACGGGTTGCGCAGGATGATGTACTGGCGCTCACCGTGGTTGGTCCAGCCAAGGACGGAGTAGGCGTGGTTGGCAACCAGGTTGGAGCCACGGTACATGTAACCCGAAGCGTGGGTAAAGGCGGCCATGGGGCAGATGGTCTTGAAGTTGACGCTGTTCTGGCGGACAACGCCGAGGATGTCCTGGGACTGGTGACGCTCAGTGAAGTAGTAGTGGGGCTCACGGCCGTTGATCTGGGCCATGGCCTTGATCGGGTCACCGTGGGCGGTCTGGGTGATGTCGGGGCGCTCATTGTTGGTGCGGGTGATCCACTTGGCATAGGCCTTTTCGTACAGGGCGGGCCAGATGTCGTTCTCGCCAGAAGCACGGCAGTAGATGGGGTCGTTGCTGGACTTGTTGATGGGGACCTCGTAGTCGACCTCGATGGTGCGGGTGTCGGCGTTGTTGCGCTTTCCGCCCTTGTCGTGGAACTTGATCTCGAGGCGGCGGCCGCGGTTCATGTCCTCATCTTGCATGTTGCCGCGGTCGTTCTCATTGCGGCGGTGGGGCTTGCGAGAAGCACGCTGGATCTGGGACGGGTCGGCCCAGAAGACGGAGAAGATGGCAGCAATGAGCCAAGAGTTGCTGGTGGCTCCCTGCACAGGGTCGTCGAAGCGGCTGACGTGGTTGCAGTCGCTGTTAGCCTCAAACATGTTGTTGTGGTAGCCCAGGCGGAAGCGGTTGACATCGGCTACCAGGCGCATGGGAGCGTGCTGGAAGACAACCTCGTCAATGTCGCGCCATGCGCTGTTGGGAGGAGTCCATTGGCGCTGCTCCTTCTGGTCGCGGTAGCGGGTGGCGAGCTCGTTCATGCTGCGGGTGAACGCGCGGTTGGATACAGTGCGGGCAATGTTCTCGCCCTCGAGAACGACGCGAAGCTTGCCGTTCTGGATGCGGGCCTCCTTGATCTTGGTCTGTTCGAGCTTGTCGAGACCGAGCTTCTCAAGGTCACCGAGTCTCTGGACACGGGACAGGTCAGGGGTGACGAGATCACGCTCCGAGAGGATCTTGACGTCGTTCTGCTTGAGCTCCTCGGCGCGGCGCTCTTGCTCGTTGAGCTTGAGACCGGCAAAGAGGACAGAGCGGTGCTTGAGGTCAAAGAGCTCATCGTAGTCGGTCTGCAGGACATCAGAGAGGATGCGAGAAACGTTCACTGTGTGCGTTACGTGGTCAACTTTGTATCTGCTAATTTATATGCCACAGATTACTCACTGTTGCGGCGGTCAAGTTTGTGGCCAAGCATGGCCTCAACCATGGCGTAGGGGTTGATGGCACCAATCATGACCTCCTCCTCCTTGGGGCGGTGATCAGGCTGGATCTCACGACCCATACCGTTGCGGTTATCCATGCTGATGTCACGGAGGTCATCATAGTCCTCGGTCTTCGAAGAAGCATCGGACAGGGCATCGCGGCTGATCTTCTTGCCAGTGAGGGCCTCGAAGAGAGCATAGGGGTCGACGCTGCCAGCAGCGTTGGAGCTGGATGATTCACTGTTGAACATTTTGAAGACTGGGTAAATTATATGTCAAAGATGACGATTCTATGATGATGAAAATAGGAGATGAGATGCGAGGATACAAGATGAGAAATGATGCGACTTTCGGATCCATTTATGTTCAGACGACCACCCCGATATTCGCCTCTCATCCTCGCCCTCACCATGATATGCAAGACGCAAACTCAAGCGAATTTGATCCACGCCACCATCATTAGTAACTTGCCTTGTGCGAAGTTGCTGCCGACTACCGACAACCGATGCTTTGCATTGCTGATCTGGGGCATCGCTGAATCCAAAGTGTGGATGCCCGTGTACACCTATTCAGCCATGATATCACAGGATATACACCAAGCTGCCATGCTCGCAAGCTACATTGCAGTCTCGTATTTGGAGACATCGGTTTGCTGGCGGAAATAACCTTGAGGCGTCGTTTCAGGGGCCTCAGTCTTAGTCATAAGCTTTTCAGGGCTCCGACCTCTGCTCGTCGTTGCAATTCCCGGGAAATCTTCCGGATTCTCTTTGGAAAGACTTGGACTCATCCATTGCGTAGCACGCTTATTGACGGCCTATATCCATCCAATCTTGCTGTTTCTTTGCATAAGTCGGCCTCAAAGAACTCGAGCCGGTTGAGCTGAGGTCATGCTGCTTTAGAAATAATATCAGGTAATCCTTTCTAGGAGCTTTGCTGTTGATACCCATCTCGATTGAAACAACGCAATTGAGAGTTTGACCAAGCATGGGTCAAGGCGCATGGTAAATAGACTTGTTGTTGCTGACGGAAGACTTTGTTCACAATGTTGCATTGGTGGCAGGCAAAGACTGCCCATGTTTTTCCGACTGGCTGGTATCAAATTCTAAAGCTAAATGAAGGCTCTGTCTGTACGCCAAACGCGCGTTCCTGTGTAGACATACCAAGTTGTCTCAACAGAATGATTGCCCTGTACTTTAGGACAACCCCATAAACTCTAAATGCCTGTCGTGGATGCGGCTCAAAACCTCATTGCAGCTTTGCGGGGAAGAAGTTTTCACCAACGGAACCTTCCCCAGGACCAGACTTTTTGCCGTGCCAATCAAAAGAATTCACACCAGGGGTTGCACGCCCTATGTCCCCTACCGGGTTGTCTTTGGAGTTACTACTGGTTCTACTGGTTTGGGTCTTTAGTTGCCCCAACCGCTGACCAGCATACCAGAATTCTTTCGCGGGCCCGGGCCGGGACACTATATCCAGAAGCGTCTCATTCATAGATCGCTGCCTTAATTACAGTTTCGTAGGGCAGATGTGTGTGATGCAAATACCAATTCTTACTATGCGGGGTATGCTGGAAAAGCGATAAAAGACTAACACACTGATCTACTGCATATGTGTGTCTTGATATTAATGTCCGTCGCTTCCAATTCGTCCCTGTTGCCAATATTTACTTTAACGATACAGGTCTGTTGCATTCCTCACCTTGATGGATGGACATGATGTAGGAGCCATGATTCTAGACCAGAGAAAAGACACGCTGGCAGTTCGGAAAGCCACGGGCGATACCACGCACAAGAAAGTACAGCAAAAATCCCCAGCGTCGGCATGGATACAATATCTGATCATACTTTGATGCATGGACATTTCCGGGGTCGGAAGGTCATCAGAAAAGGGGCAGGGAAAATCTATACAGCTGAGTAATCCCCGTCACGTCTCCCAACCTTTCTTCACCCGCTCTCATGTTCTTCGTGGTTGTCTACCACGTGAGACCCTTGGTTCTGTTTCTAACTCAACCTTGCCTCTATTCATGGGTTCGGCAATTTTGTCCTCTATGTCTCAGAATGCGGCTGGCATGCTGTCACATCACAACGCTATAGTTTGCTGATGTTGACATGTTGTCGGTATGTATACATTGACACGCCATTCAGACCGTGTCGTAAGAACCTTGGGCGTCCATGATGATCTACCACTATGCTGGGTCAATATCTCTACACGCACGCAAAACGCTGACCAAAACCACAGACAAGAACTTATTATCAGCCAGAGTGTATACTTGGAAAATACTACACATTTAATGTCCACGTCTAGTTCACTCGAATTCCTCGTGAACAGAAAGACATCCAGGACTGCTCGCATGGAGACTCTGTTTTTCAGCACATCATTGTCCAAACCACTTCCATCTGTGGCGGTCTGTCACCAATCACGCCCATAGGCGTCGCAACATGAATTTTGTAATGGCCTTGATTAAGCCACTGTGGTAAATCCATCACGTGCCAGTTATATTAAGTAATCAAACATCTGCGTACGTATGCCGTGTTACTTCTATTTCATTATACCCGTACTACAGCTTTTCACTTGGGAAAAAAACAATTCTCTTTCTCAAAGGATTTTTTTATTTTTAGTATTTTCAAGATAGACTGCGATAGTCCTTTCTGGAATCTTTTCCCATAAACCTCCATTACATTATTTCTTACACAAATATAGTGACCATGTCCCCATAATTATCTTTACTCCCTATGCAGAGCACCATATTGGTTATCTTTTAATGCGCGATATTCAACGCCAACCGAGTGCTATCAGACCAACACTGAATGTGCAAAATGCAAGGGAGGTACACTAGCACAAAATGATCCAACTCGGTCACCAGCGATATGCCTGTTGAACATTCTGCGACACGTTCGCCAAATCATCGGCAGCTGTGACTTTTTCGCGTTGCTTCATCTAGTCACTCTCATTGTTGATGCCTTCCGAGATCAAATTGCGCAACTTCTACGGATGCCCAGAGGGCAAACTGTTGAAAAACTAAAATTTAGATAAAATCAGCCTGTTCGCAGCAGCAAAAATCCACCCCCGTTTGCCCTTCCCTCCATTATTATTATTATATTTTTTTAATAAACGAAAAAGAAAAGAAAGAAAAGA